GCAGGACTCCACCGCGCCAACTGCGTGAGTCACAAAGCCAATTAAGTCGTGCCTTACTTGAGACCACAATCTCATTGGTCCAATTTTGTACACGCGTTCGTTTGCCTTAAGTATGCTGCATTAGGTTAGCACTAAGACTTCTACCCTTGCGCTCTTCTTGTTGTGTTCTTCCTTGAGGGCTCACACAAGGCGTAATCAGACGGCGATATCGCAGCTTTGGTCACATTTATAACAGTGGCCTAACTGCGGATTGCCTGACGCATTGACAGGCGGCGGACAGTGGGTCAGCTTTTGGCGATGACTAGTCGCGAAGTAGTCATTCCGCCGGGTCTGACAGACAGGCAGTTGCGGGCCATGCTGCAGTAATATTTTCACTCATAACTGTGTACTGATGTAGCAACTCGACTGTGTGTATGGTGCACAAAGCCAGTCCGTATAAGGACAGGTCCAGTGTTGTAGTGACATGCACTCTGGATGTCGGCAGAGTTGTCGCCTATATGGTAAGACGCAAACTGCAGGTGAGGCGGGAATAGGAGCCTCAACTGCACAGTTTCTAAAAACATCACGAACACTTAGGACTTACGCCATTAACTCTGAAGCCGACTGAATTAGTGGTGATTTTCCTCAGGTTAACTTACTGCTCGGAAAAATTCCATCTCAATAAATTAAATTACGTTTGGCAGTTTATCTCCAAATTAATAACAATAAAATGAAGAAATGCTTACTCTATGGAACTGTTTCCTGATTCTTCTATCAAATCGTGTTCGTACTATCTTACTCATGTGCTTGTAGCTGTTTGATTACGAAACTCGGATGACCCATGCATCAATCGGCACATTGCGTTAGATGCCGCATACAAAAGGCTCGGAGAAAATGGAAGAGATGAGGATCGATCAATACAGGCTGGCGTAAACTGTGGCCGCTGATTGGCTCACGTACCAATGACTATCCATTTTTAACTATGTGTAAAATGTTAATTGTTTTTTGCAAATTTACTCAAGTCTGACGACGACCTGGGAAACTAGCATCGAAAATTTACTCAATCAAGTTTTCTAATTTTACCAAAAAACCTATTTGCCTTCAAATATATATATTTATATAAACGTACGAATTGAAATACGCATGTAAAGCTTGTAAGAATATCATATCTTTTCTAAACATCGCGAAGATCAAAGATTCATCGCAAATTTTAGTTTCCGGTGCCAAAATCAATTATTTTTAAAACCGGAACGGCAGAAAACAGACAATTAAAGTAGACCAAATGGACAACGACTGGATTCGAGGAGTGATAAACGCCGGCGTACTAGTGCCATTTGAATAATGCGAAGGTGGGATAGCGTTTTCTCGGCAACAAAATAATTATAATGTCGTCGACATCACAGCGGAACATTTTCAGTGGTTCCGGTTGTCTAAGTTAACAAAGTCAACTGAAATAAACGGAAGCTAATAGTAGTAATTATACTGATCAAATCCATCCGAGCGTAATATGAAAGTGATATTACTTTAAAATTCCAAGACAATTAGTCTGTCAACCGAAATAAATCTGTGTTTAACAGGAGAGGGTCATGGGAATTTTTGAATATGATAGCAACTGTGGGAGATCGGGCAATCTTGAGTAAAATCCGTGGTACTGAACTGCGGTTACTAATACCGGAACGCTGTCACACTACAGTTGACAATAGCTTATAGGATTCAAAGTGAGCTGCGAGAATTATAAAACAGCATCGGATGGAACCCACTCTAAGAACAGAATCGAGAGTCACCGCACAGTCAAGGAATTTAAATAACCTGGGTTACTAGAGTCGATAATAATGAGCATGCACTGCACTGCCCTGTCCAATCGCGTGAGAGAGTGGGTGACAATCGCGAATAAACTATCTTTCTGGATTGACTCATGTAAATACATCGATTGACAAATGGTGGAGTAGCTTACAAGAGATGATTAGCAGATTGGTTCGGTACGAGCTTAAGCTCTCAAAGGGAAATTATTCTACTTTTAATTCCTCTTCCTTGTAAGGACAAGTAAATTTGGTTGAGGTGGGGACTACTAGTACTTTTAAAATTGAAGGTTGGGTTGAAATGCGTCTCTAAGACCAGGCTGAAAGCGAACTCTGGGGTTTGGACAACCAGAAGTATGACCAGTTTTGGTGATGGAAGTAAACGTTATAGTTGCTCTAAATCGAAAAAAGTATCGAACAAAGGAACAGGATGCCCTGATATTCTTATACACGGGAACAAGTTGTCAGTGCGAGCATAGAGAAAGATGGATAAAGATCGGTACTTTGAGAAGCCCGGTGATAATAATAATAAAACTGCATCCAGTCTCACATGCGGTGGTAAATACGTATGCAGTATAAGACGGTCAGCTCATGAAAGTTTTTATTGCAGAGCGAACTGAGGCAAAAGCAAGCGAATCCTAATAAAGCGAAAAGTTAAGTTCAAATCCAACTATCCAGTGATGACTTTACTGGCCCCATAGGTCAGAACGAAGGGCGAGGTGGGTACTTTGGACTGAAGGCTAAATTACCCATTACAGACAAAGTCTTATACTGCCTTGGAATATTTAAGGTAGCCCCTTCGAGCAATTTTGTATGGTGTGTCACTCATTTCGTACTCCAATGGAATAAAAATTACTCGAGAGGAACACAACGGAAATTATACTTAAAATGTCCTCGAA